AAACTGAGTTAATTCTGATTCTTCTTTCATCGCCATGTTTGTTAATGTATTTCAGCTCTTTTCCCAGTCATGCTGTTTTATGAGCTCTCATGAGGTAGAGGGAGAAGAGAAATAAGTCACCGCATTCCTAAAGGATGTCCAGGGGGGAAATATAATAAGAATAATAAAACGAAAGCTGTGGCACCAGCTGAAGAGCTGGAATGAGACTGGAATAGCAGGCTGCATTATGATTAAACTGCATGATTTCAGCTAACTTGCTAATGCAGTGCTTTTCCAAAGAGCTGCCTTGATTAAACTGGGTGCTGAGCTCTGCTGAGAACATGAAGCCTGTTGTGGACACTGAATCTGTTTGTGTGTGCTGCCGAAATCATGGTGCCCCTCCTGTCAAAAGGGGGAAACCTGGCTTTTAGTTTGCCCTCCATACTTCTTTTCCCAAGTATTTAAGCAGGTGCATTTTGCTGGTTTAGAGGATTTTGAAGTTCATTTGAAGCTACACAAGCACTTGGAGGAGCCAACACGAACATTTACACACTTCTGTGCTCTTCAATTGAAACTGTTCTGACTTCCCCAGCCACCAGCAGCAGAAGAGCTGCTCAAGCCAGTGGATTTTTGACAGGATTTTATGTCCAGTGCAGATAAAGTGAGTGAAGAGCTCTGAATAATGACTGCACCTCTGGAAATCCTGTTTTCCATCATGGTAAAATCACAGCTTGTGTACATTTATCCTCATACAACTCTGAAATGTGACAGTGCCAAGAAGTTACATGTAGTTTATACAAAGGAAGCTAAAGAGGTGACTTGATCACAGTCTTCAAGTACAAGGAAAAGATTTCTGATAATAGAAGGCTCATTAATCTAGCAGGCAGTTCCCACAGTGAGATCCAGTGACTGGAAGCTGAATAGCTGGAAGTGTGTCTCCTATGACTCAGGCTGGAAATCAAACTTAAACAATGCAAAAATCAGGAATTGGAACAGCTTGGTTAGGGTGGATGTTTTGTTAGTAGATGGCTTTGAATCAGGCTGGGGATCTTTCCAAAAGGTATATATCTTAGATGGCTTGTTGCAGAAATGAGATGGTCTGTGTCTAGCTTGTACTAGGTAAGAGTCTGTGTTATGCAGGTTAATGATCAAAGTGTTCCCTTTCTTCTAGAGCTAGCTTGCTTCTGCTTCCACATCACATCTGCCTTCTTGGAGCATTATAAAGGGTGTATAGAGAGGCTGTGGATAAAGTCCCACAGCTCATTAAAGTCGGTGGTGGCTTGGTCACCAGCTTCAAAGGGATCAGGGTTTTACTCCTCATTGCTTTGGTTCCTCCAGCCTTTGTCCGTGACACAATGGTTCCACCAGGATTGCTGTACCTTGTAGAGCCTGATGCTTCTTATTCCCTTTTGCTGACTGGTACAGGGACTGGTCATCCTCTGTGTGAAAACTGCTTCTAAGCTTAGACTCTTGCAGTGGTACCACAGAGTGTCCCTAACCACGCTTTGGCTGTGCAAAATGGCTCTCTTCATCCTTGCATGTTAGCATTTGAAGCAACAGAGAAACGAGGGTCAAGGTCCTGGGGCAGGGAGGCAAGTTGTAATCTAGTCTGGAGCAGGCGGAAAGGGTTATGCTGGAATTTTGCTGACATAACTGGGATCTGTCTGCTTTCCTGACCCTGGGAAGCCAAAGAAATTGTTTCCTCTCTGTCACCTTTACCTGATTCATGTGAACTGTTTTCCATGCACTTTTCTGAGCATACTATCTTGCTCCCTCAGGGGAATTCCTACATGATTTTCCTAGGGAATTTCCCTCTAGCTCTTATGTCAGGCACTCATTCCTCATGTGCTGGGAAGTATAACATACCCAGCCCGAAACTGCACAAATAGCCTCATGAAGCTGCATGTTTGAGGCTTTATTTCCATCATCTCCTGTTGTCAGCAACCTAATGAGCTGTGTTATTAAATGGCTCTACATTGTTACCTTGTGCTGGTGAGGAACGTGGCCAGTGGGCAAAGAGGAGCTGAGCTTCCCAGTTGTATTGATCTCTCCTGTGCTGACAAACTCTGGCTTGCACTGCTGACAGAGGGAGTAGGTTTAGCACTTCAGTGACTGCCAGGAGCCTCATCCCACCTAGGGAAGGCAGATGTGACCCACAGATGTTACTACAAATTAAGCAAAGAAAGGAGCTCAGCAAAATGTGTCTCAGGAGAGAATGTACCTTGTGTATCTCGAATACAGCATAAGGACTCCCTAAGCTGGGGAGTTTCTCTGAAGATGTTTCCCTGGCTCTTGTTTTGCCAGAATATGAGACTGAATAATTGTATGATTTCTACTGTGACACTACTTGGAATCTCAAAGGACAGGTTCCTACTCTATTAAATATTCATAGAATCATAGAATAGTTAGAGTTGGAAAGGACCTATTTCCAACTCCTAACTATTGAGAGACATTGTGACTTCCCCAGAGAGATTGCAAGTGGAGAAACAGAGGCATACTCTGACTTGCTTCTCCATTTAATCTCCCCTTAGTTGGCTGGAGGTGGTTATTCCAGCTCAGTTGTTGCACATCATATTGTTAAGCCCCAGTTCATTAATTGCTCATGAGTCTGAATGTCAGGGCTTGCTGTGATGGAGTGACGGGCAATCTGAGGCTGGTGATGTGGTTATAGTAACACTCGAGCATGTACCTGTTTATTGAGTGAGCATGCTTCACATGCTGAGAAATAACCAGTGTCCCGTGAAAGGAACATGTCAGATCCTGGTCAGAGAACAGAAGGTAAGAGCTTGGACACAGAAAAACAAACCTAAGAGAAAGTTTGTGTCATTACTGAGTAGCAAGTTGTTGATAACTCCTATCCCTGTTGGCCCAGAGGGAAGGAGGTAGAGTCCAAACAGTTCTCTCTCCTAAGGGCAGATTTTATTTAGGAGAAAGGAACAGGAAATAAAAGTAGTATGAGGCACAGAGAATGCGATTATGAGGATATAAAACTAACAACAGGCACATCCTGAGTGACAGAATGAGGCTGAACTGTGTCTGGAGTGTGGCAAAGTGGTGCCCAACTTCCCATCTGCCTCCCTTGCCTCATAGTGAGGTGTGCTGTAGGGAACTGGAGCACCAGCAAGGGAGTGACAGGGCTGTGAAGGAAATAAATGTACCTGTACAGAGTGCTGCCCCCGGGAATGGCTTTGCTATTAATAACAGTAATAACGTATGCCAGGATGTGGAAGAAGCATCTTTTGGAAAGTGCTGATCACTGCCACTATCTGGTATGGAAACAAATTGAAAACATCAGTTTCATTATTTTATAATGCACAGTAATGCCACTTTTGTATTTTTTATTATTTCCTTGTGTTTAAATATTGCCTGGAGGAGAGCTGTTTGGTTTAGGTGGCCATGCTGCAGACTGGCAGGTAAATCGGGGTGCTGCATGAGGGAGGGGGCTCAGCTGCCGTAGACAGCAGTAACTACAGTAGCCAGAACAAAGAGGTCCCAGAAGCTGGTTGCTCTGGAGTCCTATCCACCAGGACACGTCCTGGTCAGCTTGTCCTCCCTCTGCCCCAGATCTGCTGCAAATGGAACAACTTGGAACGCAGCCCAAATCCCACTGGAGCAGTTGGAATGCAGATGGCGTGGAAACCTGAAGGTGATTTCTTCCTTCCCTTCTGCCTTACTGAATAGAGAAAGGGCAAAGAGAAAAACCTTTCCTATACAAAGGAGAAAGGGGAAGAGAGGTTCACAGAACTCAGTTCTTGGACCAAAAGTCTGTGCTGAAAGTGAGTTTGCCTGCAGGATCAAGGGATGTCTATTCATGGGACTGAAGTGTGTGTGGATGCAATGCAGCCCTTGGGCAGGGAGAAAGAGATCACCCTGAGATCAGAGGTTTTTCTGAAGGAGTTAACCTGGGCAGTGTCTAAGTACTGTAGCTTCAACAGCTTTCCTTTTAGTAAGGAAAACATTTTTGTTGTTCTCATAAACTGTACTCAGCAAAGCCTCCTTATACTGAATCACTAATTTTTCCATAGGGAAAGCTGGCTGTGAGTGCAGGCTTATTATGGAGAAAGTTGCAATGTGCTTGTTTGCAGACTCAACAGAGTGTTTCCTGCTGTTTCCTGATGTAGCGAGTTCCTCTAAAGGTGGGTAATCTCCAGTCCCTGGGGCTGTTCCCTTCAGTCACACAGGGCAGGATTCAGGCTGGCTTCCAGGGCCCTAGCTCCAATGCACACTGGGCCAGAGCTGTGGGATATTGGTGAGAGCTGCAAGGATGCTCCTACGACTGTGCTAGTCCCATAGCTCACCAGAAATGGCAATGCCTGGGTTTAGAGAGGTCACAGAGCTACGGGCTTCAATGTCAATGCCATTTGTACTCAAGTTTCTGTGAATTGAGGGCTTCTGATCAGCCTGGGTACATAAAACAGCCCCCAGACAGGCTGGGAGAGCAGCTGCCACAGCAGCATAGCCAGTGAATGGCTTAATAATCTTAAGGATCTTATAGAGTCCTTTACCACTTGTGAACAGGGCCCCTGAAAGCATCTTATGTGTATGAGATGTCAAAGTAAATGCCTCTCAGTTTCTTCAGGCTTTAGCTCTCTGCTCTTCTCCCAGGCTCTGCTTTTTCCTGCTGTGCTGAGCACTCAGGCAGAACTGAAAGGGCCCCTTACCTCTGTTATCCATGTGGTCATATGGAGTAGCAGCAAGAGCCAAACAGGAGGAAGTTTTTCTTTTTTCCTGGGGCTTTGTGTATGCTTTTCTCTCTTCTTTTTTTCCCCACTCTTCTTATTTTAAATGAGATGCACAATGAAAGGAGAAGTGAATTTAATTATGAAGCCGTGTCTTCCTCCCCTCTGTGTCTTTCTGGGCTGGGAAGTGCAGTCATCTCCCCTTTGATGCAAGAATGAATTCAGTAGCACTCACTGTGAAATTATTATTTATTTCAAGTGGAAAGAAATGTCTTTCAGTTCAGTGCCAGTTTCTACCTCAGAGAACAGCAAGGGGAGAAAATAATGCAGCAGCACTTTAGGTGTATATGCATAGCTGGTAAAGGGGCTGGGGCACCTGCATGCTTCCCTGAATGTGTATTCCCTCTTGCTAGCACACAGATGTTAAACAGCAGAGCAAGCAATGTCTTGTTCAACTCTCTAGAGCCCCTTTACATGCTGACTTGTATGTTATGACACTTAGACCTTTGAAACTAATCCACTACACTGAATTGTAAGACTCCAATTTGCTGATGAGGTAAGAGAAGCAAAGATAAGTGAAGATCAGTGAAAGAGCCAGGAGGAGAATTCAGTAGCCACAGCCCAGCATATCAATAGATGTTTCACATCTTTAAAGCTGAGAACATCAGATGTGTTCTCTGGGACAGGGGCAATCTTCTTGGTGTATCTGTACCTTGTGTAGCATGGAGGAGTCCTGGTTCACTGGTTAAGGCTCCTGTTGCTTCCACAGGGTGAATAGCAGTATTTCACCAAGTCAGAGCCATTGTTGACTGTCAGAACACCACATTTCAGAGCCGGAATGGTCTGAGCAAAGGGTAAATGTCAGTGCTGCATCTTTCCTGACCCATCATTTTTCTGGTTATGAGCCAGACATCCCCTTGTCTCTGCAGTGCACTGGTAAGAAGGAGGACAAGGTCATTCAGACTTCAGTGCCTCTGTCTCATTGTGTTTCTCTGAGCTGTGAGCAGCCTGGGACTTTGTGTAAGGCCTTAATGAGGCCCAAGCAAAAGTTGACTTAAAAAATAAAAAATTCCTTTATGATGTGTGCTGCAGAGCAACAAATGGATAATAAAAGGGCTGGAGACTGGAGGCAAATCCTCCCTTTAGGTTAAGGGAAATTAAGTCCTTTGGGGGATGTGTAATGTATGAGGCTTCATTATTCTTCTCGGGACAAGCAATGTATGATCCCTTGGTCAGAGAGATGAAAGGATCATAAACTCAAATGGCTCCACATAGTCCATGTGACTCAGACAGCACCAGAGAATCTGCTGGAGGTAACTATACAGAGCTCAGCCTGCCTTGTGCTGTAAAAGCTGTTCCCATGATGCTGGGAATCATATTGTCCTGATGCTTTCGTGTCCTCTCAGGGCAGGTGGACACATACTGTCTGCATGGATGGTTAGCTGGGAGAGGGTCTTCTGGAGGCAAGTAAAAGGCCACAGAAGAAACACGTATCAGGAATAAACCCAGGTCAAGAAGTCTCTAACCCCTCCTGCACAGTCCCAGGTACTGGCTCTTCTCCTGTGCAGTCTTTCTGGCTGCCCCAGCTCAAGCCTACCTCTGCTTTCCTCCCTGACCTCCACTCCCATCTCTCTTGCACATACTAAGTCTTATCCATGTTGTGATGCCCTAATACATTTGTTGTCCCTGCTCCCAGCTTCTGAATCCCTTTGCTATAATCAGCGTGACTCAGAACAACATCCCTGGAGCAAAAAGAAATAATGTGCCTTGTTCTGCTGCTCCCTATTCAAAGGTAAATTGATTTTCTGCCCTCCGAGAGCAGATGCTCACGTCTTTTTCTTTGCCTCTCTCCCTGCTCTCTACCAGATTTAGGAGAAATCACATTCTGGGTTTTTTTTGTGGAGTTTGGGGATGGAGAGAAGTTGTGTTATTGGGAGCTTGCCATATGTCTTATTATTGAGTTGTAGATCAAAGACAATGTATGGTCCTGTACTTGTTGTACCACTGCACGGGGGAGTGTGTGTGTCTGTGCATCTTTTGAGCTTACCCTCTATATTTCTGCCATACTTGTAGATTCTAGACACTTGTATCTCAGTGTGTGCCCCTTTGTGTGTGCTAAGCTGTTGTACATGTATTTATCTGGGCTCAGGTGTATATATGGGCCTTGTGTAAGAATCTTGTGTGTTCCTGTGACTTGCTACATCCCTAAGTCCTTGTTGGTCCCTGGTATGTGTGCCTATACCTCACTGTTAGGCGGAGCAGGTTGGCTCCTGCTGAGGAGTCAGCACTAGGTTTGAGTACAAACTCTAGTGCCATACAGTGAAATGCTGCAGCTTGCTTTAGATTTAAGTACAGGGCATCACTTTTCTCCTTTGTATTGGAGCTGGGATTGATTCCTTGTGCCAGTGACGTCTCCCTAGCAATAAAATGTCCTTGCCACCCAAGCCATCCAGTCCTCATACCTGGAAGTGATTGACACCTACCACAAAGCTCTACAGTTAGGAAATGGGAAAGCAATTTCTGCTGGTTGACACCAGAAAGCCCTGCTCAGCTGTGGGAGATACCCTAATCTGTGGCTTTAAAGCTGGACCAACTGATATTTTTCATACCTGTCGTCTTGTTTTACATCTGTGACTCTGCAGTTCTGGGGAATCCTCGTGGATTTTCCACTCTTGGCTTACTCTGTCTCCATCTTTTCCCTTTTTCTGCTCTTTCTGCCTCTGCAAAGATGTCACCATGATGAAGCTCCTGATGGATCCCTGGGTGACTCGCACCCAGTGGTGATGGATTGCTGCTCTCTGTGCTGCACGCTCCAGCTGTCTGCAGTTCAGCTGCTGGATTGACAGGGCCTATGAATCACTCTTGGAAGGCAAAGTGCTCTGAGAGCTCTGGCCCCGTTTGCAGTGTGCTGATGTGACACAGCCTCACAGAAACCATTTACACGTGGACTGGGGTGGATGTGGATCTTGGAGCCAACTGCCAGGCTCTCATGTGCCCCTCTTTGGGTTTGAGGAGGCTGGGTTAGAAGGGCTGAGAACATACTGCTTCCCCTGTGTTTCTGCTGTTTTCCTTCTGTGTATGCAGTGTTTCACAGAACTGAAAAAGGAAGGAGCTATGATCTGAAGAAATTGTAGAGGAGAATTGGGACAGTGGATGATACGGAGGTAAGGATAATGCACCATGCAGGCAGCTGCAGAGCCTCCTCACAGAAGATGTGCATAGAAATAGGGGAAGGAAGAGCTTGGACAGTGCTGCTGTCTTGCTTATTCCCCCCTTTGCTTTGTTTTCATGTGGAATAGTATGAGCTGAAGGGCACAGAGAAGAAGGAGCCCTGGGAGAACAAAAGGGGAATTCCAGCAAGGCAAGCAGGTGAAGCTGCTCATTCCACTGTTCCAGGATCCAAGACACTTGATCAGTGCATGTCTCCAGGAATTTGCCAAAGTTGTCCTTGGAAGGACCTGCAGCAGTAGTACTTCATCCTCCTGATGCATGTGCCCCCTGTGCACCATGGGTCTAGCACAGACACCATCAGTCATTCCTGAAAAGCATCCCAACATCCTCCTTACGAATCTTGCAGTTACTCAATGGAAGTTTCCTGTTCTTTACCCCTGCTCTCATCAGGGTAATGACAGCCTCACAAATCTCTCTAAACACCACCACCAGCTCTAGCAGCTACGTGAACCTCCGGTGGACCCCATCAATTGGGGGCCCCCATTTTCCACAGGGTGGCAGCAACGTGCTTCCATTGTCCATGCTGAGTGCTCCCGCTTGGTGCTTCTCCAAGGTTCTGGCTGGAATTAAGCCTGAAAAGAGGAATGTTTCTAGGAGGGAGAGAGGGAATCTGCATGTACAGCATACATCCCCAGATGAAGCGTCCTGACAACGTTAAGAAACAGAAGGCAGAGCTGTATGCAGGACATTGTTGCTTCTTTCCAATGCAGCATGAACCTGCCTTCCAGATTAACCCTCTTGTTTTGTTCCCCAGGATGGGAGAGGTTGAACCTGTGAAGTGGCAGATGAAATCTTTCTTCCGATGATCTTTATTTTTTGTGGCTGGCTTTGAAACGATGGTGAAAATTCTCCACAAGAATACCTCATGCATATTCAATTGCAGCGCCAGCAACACTTTGCAGTCATGGATTATTTATATATGAAATAACCAAAGCTTCATAAATAATAAAATAGCAGCAATCTCCGCTGTGTTTTATGTTCCCTGTAGCCAGCACGGGTGCAGGGAGGATGTGTCTTTGTGGCATATTTAGATGCTGTATCAGCCCCTTGCAGGCTGGGAGCAATGGGAGGACAGAGGTAGCAGAGCAGTGTGCAGGTGAAGGCACTGGAGGTGTAGATATGCACAGTTCAATATGTGCACAAGGCAGTGTTTCATTTGCTCCAGTGTTTTGGGTGATTCTGGCAGCAGAGGACTTCTGTGAGCATGAAGGCATATGTGTTGGTGAGGCAAAGGTAGGAGTCCATGAGGAGGGACTGCCGTAAGGGGAGAAAGCTTTCAGCCAGGACGTGTTGCTTGTGGACAAAGAAGATGCAGCGCTTGGCTCTTTGTTTTGGTAACTTGACAGCAGCTGCCTCTATGCCCATAAACATATAGGGTATCCCCATAATGGACTTCAGTAATAGCAGGGCATCAGGTTGTTAAAGCAAATGAAGCCCTCACTTCTTAGAATTGGCTCTAATAGATCCATGCTTGGTGGTTTGAGACCATCCAAAAAGCTGCATGTTGGCAGAACTAATGATCTCCTCTCGGAAGGCTCAGGTTTGTCGAAGTGGCATAGATAAAGGAGAGGACAATGAGCTTTCCCTCTAGCCAGAGCAGCACTCACTTGCAGTTTCCTCTCCTTGAAGTAAATCTGTGCTTTAATCCCCAGGACAAATCTCTCTCCGATTTCCCAGCTGAACAACTGGCATGTGCTATGCAGCTTGTTATATGAGTAAGCAGCATGATTATGGGGAATGTCTAACAGAGTTCCTCTCCTCCAGCCTAACACTGCTGTTCAGTCAGTAGTAAAGCAGGGTAAGAATTAATAGCTGCTTTTCCTATCACCAGACAGCAGTTTGAGCAGACTCCACTGCTTTCAGAAGAGCTCTTCTGCCCAGATGCCTTTGCTGGGTACTCGGCAATGAGTAATCCTTTGGGGATGAATAGAGAGTACTGAGCCCTCCATTGCCCATGGTCTTCCTTCCCTCCCTGAAGGTTAATGCTGATGTCCCTCTCCCTTTCACTCCCACTGGGAAGCACTAAATGCTAACTTGGTACAAGTGTCTGTTGCTGTGAAGGATGATTCATCACTTCAGTTTGGTGGCAGCATACTTATCCCCCCACCTGCCCACCTGGGAAGAGAAAAGACAAATTGCTGTCATCCCTTTTTATGGAACAGATAACCAGGTGGTAACAAGAGTCACCTTGGCTCAAAGTCATTCAGGATGAGTTATTTGTTTGCTTACAGTGTCTTAGAAAGAGAGGGGAATTGTCTCCTAGTTACAGCATCTCCTGGCATTGCTGCAGTTGTGCATTGCTTGAAGTTGCAATTGTTCTGATGCACAGCATGAAGTATGCACAGTTCCCCACCAGGGTCCCATGGATCTTCTGTAGCTTTCCATGGCTGACACAGCACTTCTGCTCCCAGGGAAGAAGATGAATCTCTGCTTAAGGTTTGGGAACAGGCTCAAGAAAAAAGAAGACCATTTACTTTCTTGCTGCTGTGACTTCAGGTCAGCTTGGGCTCTTGACTTCACTAACGGCTTTAAAACTACCTCGCATTTCTCATCTCTTTTATCCTATGGGATTTTTCTTTCTCTGCCTTTATTCTCTGACCCTTCATAAATCCTTCCTGACCCTCCCCTCCCTGCAGCCACATCACCTCAGGCCGTTGTCAGTTCTTGCATGCTAAGCAAAATTGGGCTGGATGACAGATGCTGAAAGAAACCTGAATTTTCTAGGAGACAACATTGGGAACCTGTTAGCTTTGTCTGCACATTGTGACACCGATTGTTTCTGTCCTCATGTTGCCATGAGGTATGGGGAATCGCTTGAGGAACCAGGGATTTTGCTCAAATGTTGCCCATTTCCATAGTATTTACTGTGAACTTAGCACTATTTTCTCTCTTTTGGTTTTCAACCCTGGAGATCCTAGAGGAACAAGATGCCACAGGTTAGTTTGTTGTGTTCAGAAGCCCATTCCAGTCTTTTACAGTAGCAATGAAAAGCTGAAACATTTGACCCAGGTGTGACCTAAAGAGTCAGAAACCAGAAAGCACATGAGAGTACTTCTTTATAAGCCAATCTGATGAGTTATAAAGTGCTTGACATAGATCTGAATTCATAGAATCACAGAATGGTTTGGGTTGGAAAGGACCTTAAGATTTTATCTAGTTCCAAGCCCCTGCCATGGGCAGGGACACCTCACACTAGACCATGTAACCCAAGGCTCTGTCTAACCTGGCCTTGAACACTGCCAGGGATGGAGCATTTACCACTTCTCTGGTTACCCTGTGCCAGCGCCTCACCACCCTCACAGTAAAGAGGTATCTTCCTTGTATCCAACCTGAACTTCCCATTTCAGTTTGAACCCATCACCCCTTGTCCTGTCACTACAGTCCCTGATGAAGGGTCCCTCTCCTGCATCCTTGTAGCCCCCTTCAGACACTGGAAGCTGCTCTGAGGTCTCCACGCAGCTTCTCTTCTCCAGGTTGAACAGCCCCAATGTTCTCAGCCTGTCTCCATACGGGAGGTGCTCCATTCAAGGGTCTTCAAGAAGTTCTAAACAGTGCTGGCTGCTGGCAGCCCTCTTGCCCATATGTATTTAGTGATCTTGGGTGCCCAGATACTGATACCATAAAAGATGAAGAGAGACTTGAGGACTTTCTAGAAACGAATCTCCTGAAGGTGTTTGTCAGTAGATCTTGAATTGTTAGTCATGTTTGAAAAATGAACATTGTGGGATTTTGAAGGATGCTGTGTGGGCAAATACAAACTGAGATGGAAAATCTGACATTATCCTTCCTTTGTGCTTAGACAGAAGCATTCCCCGAACAGGCTCTTGGAGGCAGCTTAGTGCATCTGGAGGATGCTCTTAGCAGGGCTGTGCAACTGCATTCTTGAGCTACAAGACCAGAGATCTCACTTTTAGGGCACTGTTTCTATTTTCTTGTGTTGTGACCATGATTCAATACGGTACAAAGTTACTGGCAGCCCATCTGAAGTCTTCCCCTTTTAGCCACGTATGTGGGTGTTTTACTTTTTTCCCTGATCTTCTGTACCAAGAGCCTTTGTGCTGTTTGCTGCTGAAGAGATGGTTGCATTTTATTTACGTGGGCAAAAAGAGACTTTGTAATATAAAAAGCTGAACCTAACTATATATTGCAAAGAGATATTACTGAGCATGCAAGAAAAAGGCATTCTTATTCTGGGGATTTCACTTGTTAGAGTGCAGTAAGAGCTCATTCATTTGATAGTGTATATATAAATGCTATCTTTCCAGTTAAAATTGTGACAAATTCACCCCCAGGCATTTCACAGTTACTGCTCAGCCTCACATCTTTGCATCTTGAACAGTCATTGTGACAAAAGCGCTTGAACTCGGAGCTGCCTGGTCCAAAATCCATCACTCCTTATACATGAGCTAAAGGAATTTGCTGAGGTCCTTTATGAGCAAGACACAGGTACAGACTGTGGCACAGGTTAGCATCTCCCTGTCTGCCCATCAGAGGGCAATATAATGGTCATGTGGACCATTGCAGGTGACTTGACATTTCATTTGCCCAGGGTGCCACATTAAATAGTAATGCCTGTAACAGGTCATGGAATTACAGGCATGAGCCATATTCCTTTGACCTCCTCCAGATTCTGCTTGGATTCCCTCCTCCTGCTAGTTTAGCCAGGCAGCCTCCCACCTGCGGGTAGAGAAAGGTGAGATTTGCATAGTGGCCAGTGCAGGTTTCTCCTGTTTGTTGCCACCTCTTCTCTCCAACTGGGAATTCTAAGGTAGAGATAATTCTAAGGTAGAGATAAGCTGGAAATAGCATTTCAGCATCAGCAGTTCTCTCTTCCTTCTGTTTCCCTGTAGCCTCTTTGGGCTGCTCTTTACCATATGGATCAGCCCATCACCTCTTGTGTGAGCCTCATTACTGGGATTCTTCTGTTATTGCTTTGCCTACAGCCTTGACTTTCCTTTTATGTTTTCTGTTTGTAATTAAATTCCTCTCAACTGGTAAGTCACTGTACTGAAATGACTGTGTGAAACAGCCTGCTACCAGTTTCATTCCCCACATGGTTGAGTGTGTCTCTACCCTCTCTGTTCGTGATAAAGAGCAGAGGGTAGATAAAGAATCGTTTAGAATCATATAGCTTTTCCTTTATGTGTTCAGCACATAACAAGCAGATCAGATGAGGCACTGTAAGTCCCCAGGCTGAGAATTACAGGGGAAGTTTAGATTGGATCTAAGGAGGAAATTCTTTCCTGTTAGGGTGGTGAGGCGCTGGAATGGGTTGCCCAGGGAGGCTGTGAATGCTCCATCCCTGGCAGTGTTCAAGG